GTCGCGGGGGTCGTCCATCTGCATGTCGACAAAGCAGTAAGGTAGGGGTCCTGCAATCGCAGATGCATCCGAAATGTTGTGCTCGTCCAACTCAACTTCTTCATCTGCCGAGGTGAACGCGCATGCGCCATCGAAGCCACCAGACGGGCCTTGATTGGTGGAGATGTTGTTGAGGTAGTGGTTGAGGGTGCGACTTTCGTAGAAGATCACGTCGGGTGCTGGTTCTATTTCCTTGACTTCCATGTCAAACATTTTCCATGCCTTGTAATGTTTTTCCACTCCGAGGTGTAGTCCCCATCTTGCCCGCTGCGAAAATCGTCCAGCACGTGCAGTGTGCGGTCGATACTGTACCATGCAGTTGAAAACTGGAAAAAAGATTGTGCTGCCATGCCTCCCTATCCACATCAGATACGGTGATGCGTTGTTTGGTAGGGGGCTTGACGGCATAAGATTCTGCAGCATTACAGTGTGATTCATCGCCTCCGGCCACTGCAAGTTGATAGGCGCACGCCAGGCAGCAACTTCCGCATGGTGTTCTGGAGGGTGATGTTCATCCTTCTTGCGACACTATTCTGTGTATGAGCATAGAGGAGGGTTACGAGTCCTTTGATTCCCCTATCCGCGAGATTGTCCTTGAAGCGCTGTGACTAGTACTCCATCGTCGTGTTAGTTTGAAAACTTTTCATTTTGACATCTCCTTCTCTCTCTGCTGCAGCAAGCCAGGCGATGAAGGCGGATAAGGCGAGGTCGCGAGATTGAGCTGCTAGGTGTAACGGGTGGCGACGTCGATGAAGGTGATGACGTAGTTGAGGTCCGCTTGGCCGACCTTGCGTGGGATATACAGTATGTTACTGTATACCTTTCCGAGAGTTGTGTACTCAGGTGCGCTGGGGTTGTGATGCGACGGGAACAGTTGTCGAAGAAGATTGGCTTCAGGACAGATAAAACATGTGCGTCACGGTCATTATTTTATATTTGTCGAGTACTCCTGTCGAATAGTGTCAAAGAGTCTTGAATTCCCCGGATGTCCCAATCGCTGATGCCAAGTGTCTTCGCTTGCTTTGTGCCCGCCTGATTGTCAGTACAAATTCGACTTGGCGTAGAAGGCAGAGGCCGTCGCGGCACTCCGATGCTGTTCACAAGTGTGCGCCTTCAGCTGCCCTACTTCCGTTGGCGGCGGTTCTTCGAATGGGAGATCCTCAATTGTTGCTTCTTTGGCTGGTGGAGCAGAAGAAGTTCCAGCGACCGAGAGTTCAAGGGTTTCCCGTATCGGTGCTTGTGGTTCTGCGGTTGTTGTTGGTATTTCTGCTTCCCTCATCACTGCTAATGCTCTTGTACTTTCTACTTCAGGTATTGTGTTGGAGTACCAGAAGCCATCGCGGTCTAAGCCTAGATCCAGGTCCAACGGGTGTATCCAAGTCGTGAAGGAGATGAGTTCGTTGCTGTCGGCAGTCCTGTGGTCAGAGACAAAGTCCAAGATGAAGACGCCAAATTTTTGGAGTGCTCTGCCGATGAAGTGTCCGCCCTTCCCGTTATAGAGCCGGAATTCGTGGTCTAAGCTACTATATCGCACTCCAGGTGGATGCCCTTGGATATCAGTTGGCTGACGCTGAGTAGGTTGTAGCCGATGTTGTCTTCTGCCAACTGGATGATCTTTGCCATGGTCACTTTGGGCCTCAGGCGGCCCTTCCGGAGTGGCATGTTCTTATCCGTCACAGCATCCTGATGTTTGAGTTAGAGATGGCTCAGATAGCTTCTGCCAAATTTTCCTCGTATTGTGATGGTTATTGTGAGGATGCCCCATATTATCCTAATGTGTGTAGTTTAGGATCCACTATTGTGTATAGTCTAGGATCCTCTACTTTGTGTAGTCAACCCCATTCTGCTGCGGGGAGTCCATCAGGGTGTACGACTGGGTGATGCCCTCCGCACGACAGAAGTGTCCAAGCCGACCGAAGGCGAACTCCCCACCACGGTCGGAGTGGAGACACATCACAGGAAGACCACGGTAGACGCACGCAGCTACAACCCACGGGATGAGAACGTCAGGCGTGTCAGCCTTCCGCTCCAGGGGAAACACTGTGGTGTAGCGCGTATAGTCGTCGACAAGCAAGCGCTATCAACGCTGCCCACAGACGGGGGCTGGGCCCCAGACGTCCAGGTGCAGAATCTGGAGTGGCGCGGTGGCAGGGCGAAGCGAGGAGGATTGAGGAGCACAGCGCAGCCGGCCCTCGACGCAGGGCGTGCACAGTGGCGTAGGCGAGGGAGGGAGGGCAGGGAGCGATGCACGGAGACCTAGGACAAGACCATGCTGAGACATATGGCGCAGACGGGGGAGTGCTGGGTGACCTAGGCAGTGGTGCCACAGAAGCGACGGGTGAGTGAGCGACCGACACGAGCAAGCCGCATCGACCTGGGTAGATGCAGGACCCAGGGAGGACGCGCCAACCGGGGGGGAAACAGTGTCCAGCGTCAACAGGCTAGACACTGGGTCCCGGGGGAACATCGCAAGGGGGGCACCTAAGGCGACCTCGGTACAGACATCGTACCATTCGTGACCAGGGAACGTAGTGGTGACGCCGAGGTCCTGAAGACAGCCGACACCAAGTAGGTTCCTTGAGAACAAAGGGATGTGCAGGCCTGTAAGAGAACTCGAGGGAACCGGTGGACAGGGAAGGGTAATGTAGCTATGGGCAACGACAGGACCGGAGGAGGGGTCGGCAAGTGCGACAGCGGTAGGCACTGCAAGTGGCGTCAGCACAGCGTGGTCGCGGAAGTAGCAGGCAGACGCACCAGAGTCAAGCGTAAAGGAGAGAAAAGCGGAAGCTGCGGCCGGTGGAGGAGTGAGCGTGGAGTCTAGACTAAACAAGGCAGGAGGTCCTACACTTGACGCAGTAGGGGAGTCTGTACTACACACAGGAAACACACCTAAACTAGGCAACACAAGTTAATAAGATCCGGGCACTCTAGAAGCATCAACATACAGGGAATGCAGGGCAGAACAAATCTGATCCATATCTAACTCAAAGACAGGCACAATGTAGCGCAGCAGACTGGCCTAGTCAGGGATGTCCGGCGCCGAGCCAAAGTGGCGATGAAAGAGGTCACCGAGGCGGCGAAAGCAGCGGGCTGTCGTGTGCGGGCGACGACACACACTGCCGCGGAGGGGGCCGGTCTAGAGCTGGTACTGGCAGCCCCCAACGCCGAAGCTGCTGGCCGACGCCAAGCTGCAAGGGCCGCCACCACGGCCACCACCACTAGAGGCACCGGGCCACCCCGGCGGGAGGCAGGCCCACGATTGCTGCTGATGCTGATGCTGCTGCAGTTGCTGCTGCTACGGCTGCTGCTGCTGCTGCTGCTCCTGGGCACCAGCCCTGGTCCCCTGTTAGACCCACTGTCCCCGCCGCCACCTCCACCACTCCCACCACCGACACCACCATGCTCCCCCTTGGGATGGCGGCCCCGACGCTGACGCGGCTGGGTGGAGGCCGCAGCTGCGATCTCAGCGGCAGGGGCTGTCACACCGACAGCGGCAGAAACGTTAGCGTACGTGCTGGGAGGTTGCACAGCCCTGAAAGATAGGGACTGTTGTAGTACCACTCGACTGAGCGATAGTGCGTTGGCAAGTCTCTATCTCAGACAGGGTGGTGACAAAGGCAGTAAGGGTAAGGTCACATGTGTGCTGACTAAGGAAGTGGTCGCGAGCAGTGGCTAAGCGGTCTGGAAGGCGCATCGCAATGAGGTACCGGGTAGCACAGAACAGCGGGGAAAAGGCAGTAAGCTGGGCCTCAGTGCTAGCGGCGCGGTAGCTAGCCTCCAATGCACGGAGGTGAATAGCTAGGTCGGCTATAGTGGGGAAGGTAGCGAGATCAGGGAACAATATGGGGAGGATCAGGCGGCCAGCAGAGGTGGAGGCGGGCGTGGAGTAGCGCGCAACTATGGCATATAATAATTCTTTGGCGTTCGTGACAGCAGTAAAGCACTGACGCTCAGACACAGGAAGAGTGTGACTAATGGCAAGCTGCGCTACGGCCCATGTGCGCCCTGCTCGGTTTTCCTGCCGGGATTTCTGCCGCTGTGTAGCTGTGTCGCTGTATTGCTATGTCGCCGTGTCGCTAAGTAGCTGTGCTGCTGTGTCATTGTGCCATCGTGCCGCTGTGCCGCCATGGAGCTGTGTCGCTGAGTTTGCATAACAGGGGCTATACTCCGCCTAGACACGGAGGGGCACGTGATCGACTTCGCCGCCTGGCTTGTCGATCTCCGCGATCACCTCACAGGTCAGCGCCAGGATGGGCACTCCCTGGCTGTGCATGTTGATGGCTTGCTTCCCCGCCCCCCAGTGCCTGATCCCCTCCCTGCTGACCCCACCACTACTCAGCGTGAGGCCTTTTCTGCTGCTGCGCTTGCTCGCGCTGACTGGGATTCCCGTGATGCCGCTGCGCAGCTGGCCATTAGTCATGCTCTTCCCCTGTCTGAGCGTCCGCGCTTCACTGCTGTCGCGAATGCCCTGGGTTTCTTAGATGCAGTAGTTGCGCGCTACTCCACACCCGCCTCCGCCTCTGCTGGCCGCCTGATCCTCCCCATGATGTTCCCTGATCTTGCGGCTTTCCCCACTGTCGCTGACCTAGTCACTCACCTCCGTGCACTAGAGGCTAGCTACCGCGCCGCTAGCACTAACGCCCAGCTCACTGCCTTCACCTCGCCGCTCTGCGCTACCCTGTACCTCATTGCCATGCACCTTCCGGACCGCTTAACCACTGCCCGCGACCACTTCCTTAGTCAGCACCCAGTTGACCTCACCCTTATTGCCTTTGTCACCGCCTTGTCTGAGATAGAGACTTGCCAGCGCACTATCACTCAGTCAAGCGATGCTGTGGCAGTCCCTATCTTTCAGGGCTGTGCGCCCTCCTAATGCACGTACGCTGACGTTTCAGTCGCGGTCGCTGCTACTGCCCCTGCCGCTAAGACCACAGCTGTAGCGTCCCCGCAGCTGCGCCCGCGTCGAGGCCGACATGGCCTCAAGGGGGGGCGTGGTGTCGGTGGTGGTGGTGGTGGTGGTGGTGGTGGTGGTGGTGGCGGCGGCGGCGGCGGCGGCGGCGGCGGTGGCGGTGGCGGTGGCGGTGGCGGTGGCGGTGGCGGTGGCGGTGGCGGTGGGGGTGGTGGTGGTGGTGGTGGTGGTGGTGGTGGTGGTGGTGGTGGTGGTGGTGGTGGTGGTGGTGGTGGTGGTGGTGGTGGTGGTGGTGGTGGTGGTTGTGGTGGTGGTGGTCTGATTAGGGGATCGGGGCTGGTGCCCAGGAGCAGCAGCAGCCGCAGCCAACGCAGCAGTAGGAGCAGCAGCACCAGCCGCAGCAGCAGCCGGAGCAGCAGCTGCTGCTGCAGTCATCGACCCGCCTCCCGCCGGGGTGGCCAGGAGCCTCTGGCGGTGGGGGCCGTGGTGGCGGCCATCGCAGCTCGATGTCAGCCGTCAGCTTCGGTGCTGTGAGCTGCCAGTACCAACTCCGGACTGGCCCTCTCCACGGCACTATGTGTCGTCGCCCGCACCCGACCGCCCGCTGCTTCCGCCGCCTCAACGACCTCTTTCGTCGCCACTTCGGCCCGGCCCCGGACCTCCCTGACTGGCCCAGTCTGCAGCGCCACGGTGTGCCTGTCTTTGAGTTAGACATTGATCAGATTTGTTCTGCCCTGCATTCTCTGTATGCTGATGCTTCTAGTGTGCCCGGATCTTATAACCATGTGCTATCTAGTTTAGGTGCAGTACCTGTTTGTTGTCCAGACTTCCCTGCTGCGTCAGGCGTAGGACCTTCTGTCTTGTCTAGCCTAGGCTCCACGCTCGCTCCTCCTCCGACCGCCGCTTCTACTTCGCTATCCTTTACACTTGACTCTGGTGCGTCTGCCTGCTTCTTTCACGACCACACGACCGCCTCAGGTGCCCCCCTTGAGACGTTCCCCCGGGACCCGATGTCTGGCCTGCTTACGCTGGACACTACTCCTTCCTCGGTGGGCACGTCCTCCCCAGGTCTTGCGTCTACCCAGGTCGATGCGGCTTGCTCGTGTTGGTCGCTCATTCACCCGTCGCTTCTGTGGCACCACCGCCTAGGTCACCCTGCACTCCCGCATCTGTATCACATGACTCACCACAGTCTCGGCCTAGGTCTCCCTGCGTCGCTCCCTGCCCTCCCTCCCTTGCCTGCGCCGCTGTGCACTCCCTGCGTCGAGGGCCGGCTACGCCATGCCCCTCATTCCTCCTCGCTTCGCCTTGCCACCGCGCCACTCCAAACCCTACACGTGGACGTCCCTGGGCTGCGTCGTGAGCGCTACTTTCTCATGCTCGTCGACGACTACACGCACTTCAACATGGTGTTTCCCCTGGAGCAGAAGGCCAACGTGCCCGACGTGCTTATCTCATGGGTTGTAGCTGCGAGCCTCCACTGTGGTCTCCCTGTGCTGTGTCTCCACCCCGACCGTGGCTGCGATTTCGCCTCTGGTCGGCTTCGACAAATCTGTCGTGCGGAGGGCATCACCCAGTCATACATCCTGCCGGAATCCCCGCAGCAGAATGGGGTCGCTGAGCGACGTATCGGTTTGGTCATGGAGATGGCTCATACCTCCATGATTCATACCGGTGCACCCCATTTTCTGTTGTTGTTCGTCGTTCGCTACGCCGCTCACCAAATTAACCTCAGGCCACACTCCCAGCAGCCGCAGGTTTCGCCGAACCTTCTTTGGACCGGGTTCCCTGGTGACTCGTCCGCGTTCCACGTCTGGGGCTGCCTTGCTCACGTTCGTGCCTCTGGCACGGACAAGCTCACTGCCCGCACTATCCCTTGTGTCTTCCTCGGTTTCCCCCTTGACTCGTCTGACTGGCACTTTTAACCCCCGCCGTCTGACCGCTTCTTTCACTCCCGTGATGTCACTTTCGACGAGTTTGTCTCCTTTTGCCACCGTTTTCCCCACTGAGGTCTCCCGGTTTCCCCTCCTCTGTTTCTGGTCCCCACTCCCCCGGTAGCCCTTGCTCACCTCCCTCCCCGTCCTGCTCCATCTGGTGTGTCTCACGTCACTCCCCTCTTGTCGGTTGTCCCGGTCGAGGAGTTGGCTGACTCTGGTGGCCCCACGGCGCGTTTCTCGATGTCTGTTGCTCCCCCGGCGTCTTCTCCTCCGCCGTCGCAGCAGCCGCCGCCGTAGCCACTGCATTAGCCGCAGCCGTCGTTGCAGCCGTAGCAGCAGCCGCCGTCACCGCAGCAGTAGCCGTCTGTGGACTCTAGGGGTGCGGGCGTTGAGGAGGGTGTTATGAAAGCTAGGTAGCTAGGAATCCTAGGAAGCCATAAAATGGCGTGAGGGTTTAGGAGCTAAGACCTAGGAGAGAAAGTTAACGAGAGAAAAGAGAGCAGACTAGTAGAGAGAGAGGCATACAAGGAGGGAGTTGTACCCTCTACAGTAGAGTTCGATAACCTACCAAGCCTACAATTATATATATATATAATATAATATAATTGAACATAGGGAGGGTGCTTATCCCAGGATTCCTGACATTGCTAGTCTCGGCGTTGAGTTTTGGCAATATGTAGGTATGTTAGTTATACGGTATGTGTGTAACAATTGTGTTCTTGTCTCCTCCCCCCCTCCCTTCCTAGTCAATTTCTCACCCTACCCGTAATCCCCCGGATATAACACCCGCCAAAATTAAGCACCCCCTGGTGTTCTATCTGTGGAGGGTGTTTATAACAGGATCCAATGACTCGAGGAAAGATTGCACTATCGATCAGTACAGGGCGCTTTTATACTTCCAAAGTACATCAGGTAACCAGGTTTATCTTATCCTACGGGAATAGACCCTTCTAGAAGATAGAATCACCCTGCGTATAGCCACGCGAGGCTATAGGCTTTAAGGGATTACGGCAGGATTACGCTAGATGTAGCGCACCAGTACATCCCAAGCCTGGTCGGTGATATAATTATAATAGCAGGATAAACCAAAGGTTAATGGAAAAGAGAGAAGAGGAAACCAAATGAGATCAGATAAAAAGAGGAAGGAAATAGGAAAAGGCCAAGTGGTGTAACGGGGTCGTACTCTCACACTTCCCCCCCTCAAAGCTGGGTGGTAGAAGTAACACCCTGCTTGACAAGGTAGTCATGCAGAGGACGACGGGCGTTACCCATGTCGGTCTCAGGTACCCAGCTGTCCTCAGAAGGATCATAACCCTTCCAACGGATGAGAAGCTCCACGGTGCCATTCCGACGACGTTGGTGTGCAAGCACGGACTCGACCTCGTACTCGGGTTCATTCTGGACGAGGACGGGCGGCGGCGGCGGCGGTTGGCGTCCGACGAAGATCGTGTTGGGATCCCGATAGGGCTTCAGAAGTTGGACATGGAAGGCGTTGTGAATATTCCAGGTGGCAGGCATAAGCGGAAGGTAACAGGAGTGACATGTGCTTCAACGAGAAAAGGCCCGCAGAAGCGAGGTCGAAGTTTAGATGGGAGGTGGCTGATGTCAAGGTTGCGGGTATCAAGGAGCACCTGGTCTCCCACCGTGATGGTGTGGTCGTTGCGATGGCGATCGGCCTGGCGCTTCTGTTGCTGCTGAATATCGAGGAGGCGCTTGTGGGTCCGATCCCAAAGCTGATGCATAGTTGTAATGAAGTCGTGTGCTGGTTGGACTATAGCGGATGTTGTTGGTTTCTGTGGTGTGAGTGGGTGGCGTCCATAGCAGAGGAAGAACGGCGTCTGTCCAGTAGCGGCATGTGTAGCGTTGTTGTAAGCAAACTCTAGAACGGGCAGGTGCAAGTCCCATTTGGAGATGTCGTCCTTGCCGGCTGCTTGGAGGAGTTGCTCGACAATCTGGTTGAGGCGCTCGGTCTGTCCGTCTGTCTGCGGATGGTAAGCAGATGACATGGCGAGTTTGGTCCCGAGTAGAGACATAAGTTCCTTCCAGAACTTGCTGGTGAACTTAGGGTCTTGGTCGGAGATAAGTGTGGTTGGGATGCCATGCTGTGAGATGATGTAACAAACAAACAGTTGTGCTGTCTCCTTGGTGCGTGCTGTTGTGTGTGTCGGGATGAAGTGTCCCATTTTGGAGAACTTGTCGATGACGACAAGGATTGCGTCATGACCGCTGGTGGTAGGTGGTAACCCGGTGATGAAGTCCAGGCTAACCACTTGCCATGGTTGTTCTGGGACAGGAAGAGGCTGCAGTAGTCCCGCCTTTTTCTGCTTGTTGCTCTTCATCCGCTGACATGTATCACACGAGGTGACAAACTTCTGAACATCCTCTGCCAAAGTGGGGCCAGTAATAGTGTTTTGCAATACCGGTCAGCGTCTTGTTGCTACCGAAGTGTCTAGCGTATAGGACGTCGTGGTATTCTTTGGGTCGTAACTGGCGCAAAGGAGGGTAATTGGGTACCCAGATTTTTGTTGATCCTTTCCGGTACGCGATGTCACTATCCCACTGTAGCAGATGTCGCTTTTCTGCCAAGGGAATTTCGGGGTCAATGGCGTACCCGTGTATGAAGAGTCCCTTGAGGAGTGGATTCATCCCTTCGATTTGAATAGCGGCAACGTATGCAGGCCGGCTGAGGGCGTCTGCTTTGTTTTTGTGGCCGGGCGTGTGCACGATGTCGTAATGGAAGTGTGTCTCAAGGAAGTCGATCCACCGGACCTGCCGCCTGGAAAGGTTGGGTTGTGTCTTCAAATATTTCAGGCTGCAGTGGTCAGTGTAGAAGGTTGTTCTTCATCCTTCGAGATAACATCTCCACGCTTTGAAGGCAATGATGATGGCAAGGGCCTCTTTGTCATGTATCGGGTAGTTTAGTTCTGCCCCGTGCAGTTTCTTGCTCAGGTAGGCGATTGGTTGTAGTCCATTCCCCTGTTCTTGCATTAAGACTGCTCCCACTACCTGGTCGCTGGCGTCAGCTTCGATAACGTAGTCGCGATAAGGATCTGGCAAGATGAGTACTGGTGCGGACGTAAGTGCTTGTTTCAGCTGCTCCACGGCTTTCTGGTGCTTTGGCTCCCATTTGTAGGGCGTGTTCTTCTTCAGCAGATTCGTGAGTGGTGCTGCGAGTTTCGCATACTGTGGCACGAACCTGTTGTAGTAATTCGCGAAGCCTAGGAACTGCTGCAACTCCTTCACATTCTCGGGTGTCTTCCACGTACGTACGGCTTCGATTTTCTTGGGGTCGACGTGAACTCCTTGAGCGCTCACCATGTGTCCTAGGAACTGGACCTTCGCAAGGGTGAATTCGCTCTTGGACAGTTTGACGTAGAGTCGTTCTCGTCGAAGAATTTCGAAGACGCGTC